AAAGTGACCAAATCAGCAGCCACAGCCGCTGCTAAAGGTGGCAAGAAATAGCTTGAGAAGTATCTTCGTAAACACTCATCACGATATACAGAACATTTATTCTTGTCAGAAGTTTTCTATATAGTTATATCTATTATTGTCGTTCAACTTTTTCTAGATACACATTGGGAAAAAAGACGACGGCGGAAAGATTTTTTTTCCTTGAGTAATTTTTTCCATCAGTTAATCGTTTCTCTTGTCTCCTTTTAGGCAACATTATCTCTTCTGTCTCACTGTTATAACTTTTCGCGTTTTTTTGTTTCTTTCTTGTTATGCGTCTTGTACCCTATTCCTTTCCTTATAGATAAGGGTTTCTGAAAGTCTACTGTTCGTGATGACAATATCTGATGTGTTTGCGAAACCTTTCGTATGGTGTTTATTCTATTTTTTTTCCATCGTAATTCCTCGATTCGAACATACTCGTTTGGAACAAACATTAAATGAAACTTGTAGTTTTTTTCCAGGTACTTATGATGGAAAAAAATTTGATAAAACGATTTCATCGAAGTAAGAAAAAAAAGAAAAATAAATATAATCATAACAACAAAGTTTATGTTTTCTTATTTGGGTTTCATGAGAATAATTTAGGATTCTATTCATTTTCTTTTCGTATATTCTAGATTTTCATTCAGTTCTATTCTCGTTCGTCATAACAAAACCTATTAATCATGGGAAAAGAAAAAATTCATATTAACATTGTCGTCATTGGTCACGTCGATTCAGGTAAATCAACATCAACTGGTCACTTGATCTACAAATGTGGTGGTATTGATAAACGAACAATCGAAAAATTCGAAAAGGAAGCTGCTGAAGTATGTTTTTAGTTATTTATTAATCTTTTAACCATTATTGTTTTTTTCTTCTTCATTGTATAGATGGGTAAAGGTTCATTCAAATATGCTTGGGTTTTGGATAAATTGAAAGCTGAACGTGAACGTGGTATTACCATTGATATTTCACTTTGGAAATTCGAAACAGCAAAATACTATGTTACCATCATTGATGCTCCAGGCCATCGTGATTTCATTAAGAACATGATTACTGGCACATCACAAGTATGTTATTATTTATTTTTTCTTCACATAATATCGAAGCGAAGATCTGCTAGATAAACACACGCGGGCACGTGTCGTACGCCTATTTTCTGTTTTACTTTGTGAATGCGTTTCTTCACTATGCTTCTAGAAAGTTCTACACTATGGAATGGTGAAGAGCGCGAAATGACCTTGAATATTTTAATTTCAGAGTATTATAATTTTTCTTTTATATTTAGGCTGATTGCGCTGTATTAGTCGTTGCTGCTGGTACTGGTGAATTCGAAGCTGGTATCTCCAAAAATGGTCAAACACGTGAACATGCTTTACTTGCTTATACCTTGGGTGTCAAACAAATGATTGTTGCTGTTAACAAAATGGATACAACTGAACCACCATATTCAGAAAAACGTTTTGATGAAATTAAAACTGAAGTATCAAACTATATTAAGAAGATTGGTTATGCTGCACAAGGTGTTCCTTTCGTACCAATCTCAGGTTGGCACGGTGATAACATGATTGAACCAACAGAAAAAATGCCATGGTATAAAGGTTGGTCAGTCGAACGAAAAGAAGGAAATGCAAGTGGCAAAACACTTTTGGATGCTCTTGACTCTGTTGTTGCACCATCACGACCAACTGACAAACCACTCCGATTACCATTACAAGATGTTTACAAAATTGGTGGTATTGGTACAGTACCTGTTGGACGAGTTGAAACTGGTATTCTCAAACCAAACATGGTTGTTAATTTCGCACCATCAAACTTACAAACTGAAGTTAAATCAATTGAAATGCATCATGAAGCTCTTCAAGGTAAATACTTAATGTCTTTTTTTCTTTGTATGATTATATTTTTTACATCGAATTTTTAATTTTTGTAGAAGCTGTACCAGGTGACAATGTTGGTTTCAACGTAAAAAACGTTAGTGTTAAAGAACTTCGTCGTGGTTTCGTTGCTTCAGATGTTAAAAATGATCCCGCTCAAGAAACAGCTAATTTCACCGCTCAAGTAAAATGTTTATAGTTTTTATTTTATCATTTTTTTTAATGTTTCTCTATATAAATTTTAGGTTATTGTTCTTAATCATCCCGGTCAAATTGGTGCTGGTTATGCTCCAGTTCTTGATTGTCATACAGCACATATTGCTTGCAAATTTGCTGAATTACTCGAAAAAGTTGATCGTCGATCGGGTAAAACAATTGAAGAAGCACCAAAATTCCTTAAATCAGGTGAAGCTGCTATGGTTAAAATGATTCCATCAAAACCAATGTGTGTCGAAAAATTCGCTGACTATCCACCATTGGGTCGATTTGCCGTCCGTGATATGCGTCAAACAGTAGCTGTCGGTGTTATCAAAGATGTTGAAAAGAAAGCTGCATCATCAGGCAAAGTGACCAAATCAGCAGCCACAGCCGCTGCTAAAGGTGGCAAGAA